CTGCTGAACTTGGAGGAGTAACAGGGCTGGATGTGTGTAATCCTGCTCTGATATAGGCCTCATCATTATTACAGCCAGAGTGCACCACATCTGTCTCGTCATCCAAGACAGCTGTGATCTGATTGTCCATGGTCATGTCTTCCAAGCGCATCCTAGGTCAACATGTGTTGAAAAACACAATGGATGGCACATGAGCATCATTCCTGTTTCTTGGTCTGAAGAGGTCAAAATGGAGTAAATAAAAAGACAAGATGTTGCCTTCAGGTTCACTTTGCAATGCATTAAATAAGGCGAGCTGCAACACACTGAAGATCCATCCAAATAGACTGAAAGTTAGGTTTTCCAATGGCACAACAAGTGGCATTCAAGGATCTGAGCACATAGAAACCCCACCATCTACAGGGGCAATTGTACTGTACTGTGCAAAGGAATTCAAAAAGCATGCATTAGGCTACATCCCTGCGCTGTAGCACATTGTGGTCCATGCTACGTATTTTCTAAAATGATTTTAAAATAAATAAATAAATAAGTGGCTGAGAAACCATGCTTTTGGCTCAACAGGGTTGGTTTCTTTTTTTAACACTTTCAAAGTAAAAGCACTTGGGCAAGCCCAGATAAGACTGCAGAAGAGGCACTTGAAGGTCAGACGTGTCTGATCATTCTGGATACACACTTATTAATAGGTCAGCGTGCCAAGCTCATGTATTCTCTCTGAACTGCACCACTTCATCACACCGACTCAGACACCTACAACCCTGCTCAGTAGCCCTTCTGTAGGGTGAGTAGTGTTATTACAGATAGACTGCAACACATCTGTGTCACTGACCAAGACAGCTGTGATCAAATTGCTCATGATCAAATCTTTTAAGTGCAGCATGCAGTACCTAACAGGTGTAAAAGACGTGAGTGATGCCAGTTGTACATCATAGTTTGGTCTGTTGTTGTGGGAGGCAAGTTACAAGTAAGTAGCTCTCTTTTAAGTGCTAAAATTGATTCATAATAAAAAATAAATAGCCTCTTTCAAGTTCTGCTCAGAGACTTGAACTACTACACATGAGAAAACCCAGAAAGTAATAAATCTGACTGTGATAAAATAGGTTTTTCAGCGGTGCTTGAATTTCTGAGATGTGGCAAACTAATGGAGTTGGCATAATAATTTAAAATAAAGTTCTGCTGATTTGAACAAGGTTTGACTACATGTAAGTATTAGTCTGTCATGATAATCTGGCCAAGCGGCAGGCTGCAGCTTGTTAAGTCATACATAAGGCAAGTTAAGTCTTGAGACTTACAAACTATGCAATTACACATTGCATTATATTTGGGTTTTGTGTTTTTTTTTAAAAAAAAAGCATATGCATTTTCATTTGAGATTATAAAATTGTGCACAGGAACATTCCTTTTATTTGCTTCTTCACTCATAAACAACGATGTGATCAGTAACTTCATCATCAGCTAATATCTTTTGACTTGTAGGTTTGTGCTTTCTCTCTGCAGACCAGGAATGCATTCATGGATGGTGAAACCTGGAACCAACATTTCATACTTAAGCTGCATTCACTTCAGAGATGGCACTGACTGCACAAACAGGAACAGTCACAGTGTGTGTGCAGAGGCCTTCCCTGCTTCCTCTACTCCAGTGGCCACTCTGCGATACTCCCCACTGTACAGTTCATGCAAATCACATAGCAACAAAGCCTGGCTGTTGTCTGTCACTATCAGTTGAATTGATCTTACACATGCGTGTGTGTGTGTGCGCACATGTGCTCACGTGCAACATCATCACCGACACCTCCCCCTGCTCCCTCAATCCCATATGCAGAGTTATCTTTCCACCTCACATACACTACACCCCTCCAACACCACCATCATTCCATAATATTCATGGGTCATCCATCCCCCTGCTCCCTCCCCCTATGTGCACACAGCTCACCTCCCACTCCGCCACCCCCACTCCCCTGCCTGACAACACCACCGCCATCCCATAATATTCATGCACACACTCCACACACATTCATATACAGCAGTGCATTCAGCCCTTTGTTGGCAGAGAGATGTGAGCATGCTCATGCACAGCAGTCATATTTCTGCCTGATATGATTATTCCGTCTGCACTCAGATCACTGAGGCAGGTAGTGCTGAAGTGCAGAGAGGTAACAAGGAGAGAACAAAAGGTGGTGGGTTACATTTCTATCTCACAATGACCTTGGGGTGATGGGGTGTTCATGAAGTCTAGAATCACCCTCAGTCAACTAGCTCTGAATGAGGCCAGCCATCCATCCCATGGAAAGACAAAGTAACATCACTTTAGAGTTGCCCCACCTGACAGTCTCTCAAAGTCTGCTGCAGTCTTCCACTGTAGCTGAGAGACTGAAAGTCATCTCTATATGTCCTATTGAAGCTTTAACACCTAAGGTTCTGCAACCTGTCTACAGTCAATCAGTACCAGACCATTGCAGCATAATAAAATGTCCACCAAATGGGGGAAAATAAAGATTTTTTAAAAAAGAGGGCAGGTTATTCATGAGAGAGGAGTGAAGAAATGAGCAAAACAGAGGCGCCGGACATGACAGTGGCCAGCTCATCACCATGGCGTTGCTGTGGGAGGCAGCAGAAGACGTCATTTGGGGAAACAGGGGACACAAAGAGGAATACGACATCAGGAGGACAAAAAGGAGGGATAGAAGAAACCTGTGTTTGCAGATAGAGAGTAAAGTGTGTGTGTGCGTGAGAAAGAGAGAGGGTGTGTGGATGGAGCGATTGTTTATTTGGGAAATGGGTGTCAGAGGGTTCAGGTAAAGGGGTCACTGAATCCTGAACAGTGACTGAGCAGTAAATAAGTTTCATCAGGTGACTGTAGCACAACCATAATTTATTTTACTGACCTCTTGGATTTAAAAAAACGTCTCCAAGGTTCAACATATTTATCCATAAAATCTGGGAAATTAGAGTCCTCACATCTTAATAAACCAACACTGATGGCAAATACACACATATGAAATAAATAAATCAACATTAACTACAATAAGGTCAGGACTGAGTTAGGACATACAGCTAAAAATATTATTCCAAAGAAATCCTGCAGAATATCTTCTGCAAATAAAATTGTAAACTACAGTACAGTATGTTACGTTCCAGCTTATTCTTAGAGGTGAAAGAGATTTTCTCTAACAGTACTCTACATCACTCGCTGTACAAATAAAGATAAAAGGAGGGAAAACTACCAAGCAAACCAGAAAAATCAAGCACATATAAGTTGAATAACAGTAGCCGTGCAGTGAAAATGATTTGCAGGGAAGAAGAATTACTCATGCAATAGAGTTAGTTTGTTCCTCAGTGTTAGTGGCATAAATTAATAAAATACTATATTTTAGCTGCACTTCTCAAATACTGAACCCACATCCATATTCCACTATATTTCACAAATGTCCTGTGTTTTTTTTATGCATTCACCCTGGTGCAACATCCATCCACTCTTTCTTATGCCCTCCTTTTCCTCCTATGTGGTGATTTATTTGCTTCAGTTCCAATATTTGTCGGCAGTGTGTTTTCTCCCCCTTGTCTAAATGTCACCCCTTCTTCTAAGACAATATACGGAGTGGGAGAGACGCAGAACGAGAGGGCAAATGCGGGGGCGATAGAGGAAGGGGAGGGAGAGAACTCGTAAAATCAGCAACAAAGTTTGGGAAAATTAAACATTAGGTAAGACTCTTTCTCATATGCATATACATATAGGTGGCACCAGAAATGTTGTGTCATAGTTTTTGATGAGAGAATCTTGCAGGACACCTGATGGATCAATATTTCTACTGATCATTTCTATAAAAACAATCAATAAACTGCATCTTATGTATGTCTAGAGCTTCTCTGCAGCTAAAGCAACCCAGCACACACACACAAACAGGCATTAATAGATAATGGGAGCATATATGTACACAAACAAACACATTTCTGCTAATCAAGTAGAGGACTGAAGCCCTCTGTCTCCAGTGCAGGCTCATATTTTAGGTCTCATGCCAAACATACACAACAGAGGGCATACTTACACTCTTAACACTTATGTTTTTATTTCAAAATGGAACACGCCTGTCTTCTCTCTCCCACCCTCACTCTCTACCTCCTTTATAACCCATCACTCCCATCTCACTGCTCTCACTCATTCTTGCTGTTTCAACCTGAAATGGATGCATTTGATTTCCTGGAACCAAACTGAGCAGCTGCTGACACTTTAATTTTTGGGCTTTAGCACTTCTGGATTCTAAGTTTTTGCTGCTTGGGGTAAATTTAATTGGAGACGTGGACTTATTTTTATGTCTAAAAGGACAAGCTTTGCTTTTAGTTTGTAAAACATCCCTGTGATCATGCTGTTGCCATTGTTAACAGCGCTAGAAAAGAAACTGATGAACATCTTTGCTGATTAAAATTTGGATTAAATTTGGTCAAATAAAAAGCGAGACTGATCGGATATCACAGCACAATGAACTGGTAAGAATCAGTGTTACTTTTATAAACTAGAAGGAAATTTCAATTGCGGATTATAGGGAAATGATCTTTTTCACAAATATATTTCAATTATACTGTTTTATAGCATAAGGCAAATATGAATAAAGTGTGTACAGTCTTATCAATGTTTTGACTCAATGACTTTTCTCAAACAACAACTACATACTCACATAAAATTTAATATGGAAAATATTGTTAACTTAAATGTTATGAAAACGGTCTGGTAGAACAGGATGGTGGACAATTCCAGCTGGGCGTGTGTCACTAATCTGTTAACTTGGAATTTCAACAGATATGAGGGGATCTTTCCCAGATTTTGGACGACACCAAATAGAAAGACGGACAGACAGACAGATCACTACAACTGTGAAGACAGGCAGCGTGCTGTCCAAAGACCCAGCCAGACGCACGGAGAGGGACAGACAGACAGTCTGATGCCAACTGTCTCTACTGTCAATCTCACGGCACCACTCCTCCTCCTGTTGCTATGGGCAACCCACCCCACCATGGCAACCAACTGGCTGTAAGTCTAGTGTGCGAGGAAGGAAGTGAAAGAGGGAGTTTGTTTGTCATGCTATAACTTTTAAAACATGGTGACATGTCTCTAAATCTCTTTCGGTTGCTCCCCCCTCTTTCTTTGTCTCACTTCTGGTGACCTTTTCTCTTTTTTTCTCTCTGCCTGCACTGCACCTTCTCTGTCTCTGTCTTCTGGTCTCATTTCCATACTTTCTGAAACTCAGTCCAGATATGGGATGCATCCCAAGTCTCCTATATGTATCCACATGTCTCTCTTATGCATCCTAGTCCCACCCATGTATGATGCGAGATAAAACACAAGGAGAGAGAAATCAAGAAAACAAATTTTAGGAGACATGAGACATACTTTCCTTCGATCCTTCATCTAAAGCATCCAATCACAACTGATTTTCAAGGGTCCATAAAAGACTTCAGACATTCAAGACTCCTACAGGCAGCCTCCTCACTCCTAAGAGCAGAGTAAGAGTCTTGGACCAATCTTGATTCAAGGAACGATCACAGAGACTTGAGATATATCCATTGCTTCTACATCCGGTTCCCTCTGTGCTCATCTTCACTCCCACTGTCTACTTAATTTTGCAACTTCTTTTTTTGTCCCTACAACCTCTGTGAGTCACCATACCACTCCCCACCTTTTTGTCCCAGCTCCCTGGCGAGGCTGCCTCGCTCCAGGCCCGTGTCCGGTGCTGCCCCATGTGCACGTCTGAGGGGACTAACCCCTGGTCAGGTGGGAGTGTGCAGGGCACGGGGGGAGGTCATGGAGTCTGTACGCAAGGCAGCCGAGATGGTCATAGAAGAGGTATGGTCAGAGAGCATGTTTGAGGGTCATGATACACAGGCATCACAGTCATTTATGTGATGATTAAAGTATCACAACCACTAGTGAGATCAATAGTTTCAGAACCTGTTGCTAGCGCTGTTCTGTGTGTTAGAGCTGTTAACTTCTACACAGAATCTCCCTATCTTACTGTTATGCATGTCACTCCCTAACCAAGTGCCAGCATCAGTTCAGGAATCGCCGTTGGAACTGTTCCACCACCCCACGTGGGATCAACGTATTTGGCAGAGTAATGAACCAAGGTACGCTCATTACTGAGCCTATGTCATAGAGATGTGCGTGCTGAAAAGCACTTAGACTGAGAAACTCTCAAATGCATGTCATAACAAGAACTCCCTGCATCCTGTGCTCTATTTTGGATTCAGGCACTCGTGAGGCGGCCTTTGTGCATGCTTTGTCCTCAGCAGCTGTGGCAGTGGCTGTGACACGAGCCTGCACCCGTGGGGAGCTGGAGAGGTGTGGCTGTGACAGGAAGGTCAGGGGGGTCAGCCCAGAGGGTGAGACTATATTCTGTTGCATGAAAATGTAACAGGTAAATCCACACTGAATCACACACAAATGCCATAAAACCACTGCTGCAGTGCACTTATGGTCACATCTCATGCAGTGATGCTCTATTTTCCCGTCGCCTGTCACAGGCAAAACACCTGTGCTATATTATTGTTTATTAAAGTTGGAATCCAGCTGATTTCTGCATTGTGTGATCCAGTTTGGGTTTAACATTCATCCTTTTACTGTTCAAAAAGAAACCATGCAGTTACTTTAAGGCTGCAATAATGCATGCAGCCTTGTTTCCATGCAGTCTCTCTGTCCCACCACAGGTTTTCAGTGGTCAGGGTGCAGCGATAACCTTTCCTATGGTGTCGCTTTCTCCCAAACTTTTGTGGATGAACCAGAGCGAGCTAAGGGGCTGTCAGCAGGACGACCACTTATGAATCTTCATAACAACGAGGCTGGTCGAAAGGTTGGTGGTAGCACTTTTTTTTTGACAGCTTCTGTTAATTTCTAGCTCTACAATCAATTGGAATACAGTATACTGACAATCTGCCCTTCTTACACTGTAGTCACTATCCTTTTCTTCACAGGCCATCCTTCACAATATGCAGGTGGAATGCAAGTGTCATGGTGTCTCTGGCTCCTGTGAGTTGCGGACCTGCTGGAAGGTCATGCCTCCATTTAGGCGCGTTGGCATTGTGCTCAAGGAACGCTTTGATGGAGCCACAGAGGTATCAGAAGACACCTTGTTTGTTTCATCTTTCATAGCTCAGTAGATGAACACATGACAAAGGTGCATAAATCGATGAGGATCCTTCATGAGTTTCTCACAACCTCTTCTGAAACCTTGAAAATGTCCCGACTCTCAACATCATCTGCTTTTAGGTCCGCCTGACTCGTATAGGATCCAGGACAGCCCTGCTCCCCCGTGACCCCCAGGTCAAACCCCCCGCTGCCAGAGACCTTGTGTACCTTGCGCCATCTCCAGATTTCTGCCATCTTGATCCTGAGAACGGTATCCCTGGGACTGCTGGTAGGAGATGCAATGGTGAGATCAATGGCAAGACCATCTCACAAGGAACACATCACTAGGTCATCCAACGTATCAGTCAAATCAATTACATAAACTGATGTTGTTTTCATCTAACAAAAAAAAAAAAAAAAACCCAGGAACCTCTCGGCTGGCACCAGATGGCTGTGAGCTGGTGTGCTGCGGGCCAGGATACAAAGCGGGCCGGGCTGAGGTGGTGCAGCGCTGCTCCTGCAAGTTTTCCTGGTGCTGTTCAGTCCGCTGCCAGCAGTGCAAGAACACGGTCACCATTCACACCTGTAGAGTGTAAAATGGCTCAAACAAAACAAAACCAACTGAAAAGAAACACACGGACAAACCACTAGACAGATATTCCTGACCACAAGATGAAATAGGGACAGCACAGACACCAAATTATCAAAAATTCTGGCCAAATGTACAGTAACTTCACTTTAATTTTCAGCCTGGACCAGTGGGGATAGAGTTTGAGTATTTTGTTGTAACAGCTGCAAAGCTAGAATATACGCAAAAAATATGACAAAGCTGACAGTAAGTAAGGTACACACAAAAATCACTTTCACTTTTCTTGAACTTATTCAACACTGCAACTGAAAATACTGAGACAGGGCAAGCAAAGACATGCATGCACACATACACTGTATGCATGAACACACACTCTGCAGTTAATCTCACACATAACTGACAAAGCTTTTAAAGGTGAACTTAACTGGAACTAACATGGAAACACTGCAGTTTTATTTTTATTTTATGCAACCCATGCACATTGTATCATAGACTGGCAGGTCTTTGAACACTGACTCTATGACTCCTCTATTCTGGTTTATTTATTTGTATATCAGTCTTGCTTCATCTCAGTCTCCAGCATCATAAACAGCAAAAGTAACTTCTACTTACATCAGTATTCATTTTGTTCCTCACCTTCATCTCATCTATATGTTCCAGCACAAGCAGTGCATTTAGGTCTGTTCAAGAAGTCTAATAAATACAGTAGATCCAAAATATGTTTCTTGAATTTCTTATTGACCATGCGTCTAAGATGCTGTCTCACTTGAAATTCGAACTGAGGCACATAAGTCTGATGCAAAGTTAAAGAGACCCTGTGGGATTTTGACTAGTTGAGGCACAATGGAGAAACATTTTGATGTTTGTTTTTTTTTGTTTTTTTTTTAGTAAAAAATGCATGATTACAGCTGAGGTGACATTCACGAGGTTGTTTCTTTTTTGTGTTCCCTCAAAAGGATGTTAACCCGTATCTTTGTAGAGGCATAATTCCAGCCTTATTTGCATCTCATGTTGTATTAGCACAAGCACTCAGATGACTATATACATTTCTGTCAACTGCAGAGGGTGGTAAAACAGGCACGTAGTATATGTGAAACATGAAACACACCAAAATCCTTGCAATGCACCAGGAAAAAAAAAAAAAATTCAGAGAAGATGACAACTGCCAGCTGATGTAAATGAACACAGGTTTCAAACTATTCAGATTGGCTGTTCTTAAAGAAATAAATGCAGATTCAGCACATTACTTTGGCCTCAATGATATACACCATGTGCTTTAGTGAAAAACAATCATGTAAACGCAATTGTTTAAAATCAGTAACTGAACTAACTATACATCTTTACGCTTGCTAAAAATGGTCCCTTAGGATTAGTTGTGCATGTATTATTCTCCTTTGAACATACAGAACAACGGCTACTTTCCATGTCATGAAATTTTATTAAAAATATCCTGTGATTACAAACACCAAGAAATTTACTAGCAAAAAGTTATCTCAATCTCTATCAAGATTAAGATTGATTCAAAATATTACAACTTAATTTTTATATTATCAATCGCTCAAAGTTGGTAGTCTAGCAATAAAAATAAAAAAAAATCTGGATACAATAAAAAGTCAAGTTTCAAAAAGAATAACTGCTAAAAATTTTCCCAAAACTGAGTCACAGAATTAATACAATATACACAAATGGAGAATAAAAGAGAAATTCGTAAGTCGTCATAAGTGAAAGGAAACTGGTGAAAATGCATTTGGTTTTCCAGAAAAGTCACTGGGAGTTGGAAGAAAGTCATCATTTCAGACAGCTACCTTTGTTTGGACTGACAAGAACTCTCATCAGTTTCATTATTCAAGGGTTAGGAAAGGCAGCAAATAAGAGTGCCACTTAACATTAAGTTGCCCCCTTAAATGTATTAAGCAAAGTTCTCTAAAAAAAAACTTAATGTTAAATGCCACCAAAATGTTTTTATTTCCCTGCACTGGGTTTAAAAGCCCCAACAGGCCTCAAGAAGTAAAGCACACAAGAGAACTGTATAAATGAATCTTTCTTTAAAAACGAACAACTGAGAAACAGTGACAGGCAGGGGGGGCCTGCCCCACCTCAATATTTATTAAAAGAACACTGCATCCTTTATAACCTTTCAGAAAAGGAGAAGGGTGACACTTATTGCATTTACTGCATACTGAAATTTAGCTTCCTCTGTCTCTTTCAAAGTTTATTTTGAAGGCACAATCAGTGTACATGTGTATTAGAATGAGTCTCAGTGGCACTGTACCTCCCTTCCCTTTTATTTTGTCCTTTTCATAATGGCCATTGATCTTTCTGGTGTTTTGATTCACCTCACCTACTTCTTACACCATCACAGCTCTCACTGTTGTTGTTCATCTATAGCAGAACACACTTTCTCTTGGTCTTGGTCTCAGGAGGCTCCAAGGCTGCCAGGATGGCCTCATCGAACACATTCTTAAGCCCTCGCTGGTTGAAGAAGAGAAAAAGCAAGAGCGAGAAAGAGAAATGTCGCTCTTATTATTGCCTTGTTTAAAAAAATATGTTGATTTCACTTTCAAGGCATAGTGAAAATATGCTCCACACCTGTGTCAGAGCAGAGCACTCCACGTATTTGACAGCCTTGAGCTCCCGTGCCAGCTTCTCTCCGCTCTCAGGATACAGGGGGCGCTGTTTATTTTTTGCCAGCTTCTCAACCGTGTTGCTGTCTTCCCGCAGGTCCACCTGTGTTCCCACTAGCAGGAAGGGTGTTCGTGGGCAGTGATGAGAAATCTCAGGAACCCACTGAAAAAAGAAATGCAAAAATAAAAGATGGAAAAATGCACATTTTCTTCCTTCCCCGTCTTCTCTAGGACTGGGTATCAAGCCCTGCTATTTTTTGGTTATTGAACAAAAGCTGATTAATCTATTAATTAATTTAAATGATTAATCTATTAATTAAGGATTAAGGTCTGATTAATCAGCAGACTAACAGAAACAACTGTTAGTTGTAGTCCTACATATCTGCAAAGCAGAACTTCAGATATATTTAACAACAAAAGTCAAAGTTGCATAAAAACTGACCTTCTCTTTGACGTTTTCAAAAGATGAAGGGGAGACAACAGAGAAACATACAAGGAATACATCTGTCTGTGGATAGCTGAGAGGACGCAGTCTATCATAATCCTCCTGGCCTGAGAGCATCAATCACAAGAGAAACAGGAAAGTGTTTTACTAATGTTAGAGTGACAGAAATGAGAGTGAAAAAGAGAGATTTTCAGTCATTCGTGTTACCTGCTGTGTCGAATAAGCCGAGTGTATAGGGCTCTCCCCCGATCATCACTGTCACTGCATAATTGTCAAAAACCTTTGAGCGTGCAAAAAACAAACAAAAAAATAACACAAACACAGAAAAAGATTAACAGAAAAAAGTGAAATAAACTAAAGGAAGCACATCTGAATTGTAAAACATACAGGACTTTTTAACTTCAAAGCCTTTCTTAAATCTCTTTACCGTGGGCACATATTCTGAGGGGAACTTGTTGGTTGTGTAGGAGATCAGTAAGCAGGTCTTTCCTACTGCACCGTCTCCTACCACTACACATTTTATAGTCTGCATCTGAAAGGAAAAGAGAAAATAAGAAACATCACAAGACTGTCTGCAAATACAGTAGACTAGAGAGCCAGACACTGAGAGAGGAAGTAACACACAAGCACTCAGAATATTATCGCTACATCTAATGTTATATATGGCTTCATATTCAGCAAGTGACAACAGGAAAATGGCTGCACAGTTATATCTGTAGGTCAAGCTCCTTTACCTTCTTCTGGATACTACTATTTAAGAGATAAACATTGTACCTTTCTACATTTGTGTGACAGCTATTGTTAGTGGTTTCTTTCATGTGACAGCTGAAGTTACTGAATTTCTGCATTTTAAAATTTTTACATACATTGAGTTTACACTCATTTACATTTGGTAAACCCAGCTAGAACTAATGCAGTGCTGAAATAACACCTACCTTCCTGAATGTTACATTGTGTTTTTGTTAAACAATTTCAACGAGATGTTAGGTTTTATTTATTTTTTTCAGAAAGATCTCACTGAGACTCAAAATCTCTTTTACAAGAGTGTCATGGTCAAGACAATCAACCACATAAAAATAAAGCACACTGATTTAAAATGATTACTCAGCTCATAAATATCTGTATGATCATTTTGCATTATACAAAGAGGTGTTACAGCTGTTGCAATATGGTGTTATTCAGCCAACACTTGTTAGAAATCAGGTGAACAAAATACAGAAAGACCTGTCAGTTTAGCTCTAAAAGTGATTAAGAAGTTTAAGAACCAAGATTCAGAATCAGAATCAGCTTTATTGGCCAGGTGTGTCGGACACACGAGGAATTTGACTCTGGTACATCAGCCCTCAATGTGCATGTACATATCCCCATGCAAGGGGCAAGTAAACAGTAAACCAGCACAAGGCTAGTATAACAAAATAAGCAGTATTAACAAGCAACAAACTAAGCAGTATAAACAGGCAGTAAACAATGCAGACAGACTGCTCAATGTGAAACGGGATAAATAGGAATAAAAATAGACACCTGTACAGATCTGTATAATCTGTACAATGCATATTTACAGGCATTGGACTGGGGAAATTGTAATTGTGACTTGTCAATTAAAAGACTCCCAGATTGCAATGAGAGTCTTAATACTTTATCACATAGGTTTGAAACTAATAGTCTTCTTTAGTATAAATGTGATGGAAATACTGATAATATGTTATATATTGTAACACTGAGACAGAGCTAGTATCAGTTGTGTAATTTGAAAGATAGTGTTTTTTCTCTTTTTCAGAACAAGAGTTAAAATACATAGTGTCTGACACTATTGGTACAGTCTACCAATAAGCCGACCATACATATACAAGTCAGAGGTACACTAGCTTGATTTTAATATTTCCATTTTGCAAGCTTTCTTTTCGGGGGGATTAAAGTTCACACAGACTGAGAAACAAGATCAATTCAAGAATTTAAATAAGATTTTCAGTCCAAGTAGGCTTATTATTATACAGTATGTGCGAGCAAAGGTTCATTGATGACAGCGAATCACTTCCGCATCACTACATAAAGTTGTTTTTTTTTTATTGACCTATTTGAACAATATAATGTAAAAGCGGATACTGCCTGAGACTTCCGCTAAATAAGCAGGTTATCGGATAAACTGTGGGCTGAAAACTGCTGAAAGTTTAAGGCCAGACATTTAAAATTTGGAGACTATAACCAGCATAAAACGAGCAATGATTAAGTTAACGTTAAAGCTGAACCTGTCTGTTAAGTGACTGTATTAGTTAGCTCAGCCTGATGGAGTGTTAACGTTACAGTATCTGTTAAGTGCCAAATTAAAATCTCAGTATCTTATTTACTAAACTAGCTACCGCTCAATCTATAACAACAAACAAAATAACTCAAACAACTGTGATAATTACATGGCCTTAATTAATCAGACTGATGTTAGCCAGCACTAAATCAAGGGTAATGGCTTAGCTAGGGAACTTTAACAATTTTAACGAGAATTTATAAAACCAGTAAATAATCGCTTCCTCTCGTCAGAAAACCTATACTGTTAAATAGATTCTACCTACATGTATCCCATGGTGTAATTATGTATAAAGAGCTATTTCAAACTGTTTCTATAACTCTACTCACCGTTTTCTTCAGACAGGTTAGGCGTTGGTTACATCCGGGTTTGAGGATCGAATTACTTAGTGCGCAGCCGCAGACGAGACAAGACCCAGCCACAGGTGAAGAATAGAAACACCGCCGCCTGGTGGACTGCATATCTGTCTCTCTATCGATCGTAATTTGCCCCCACGTAAATTACACATTATGTTTATTTTTAAGTAAAAAAAAAAAAGAAGTCTTGCATAAAATAAGACATTTAAGTTTTCTTTTAGTGTTAATGTACTCTTGATTTCTGTTTCGTAAAATAAAAAATGAAAAAAGATTTAAACGGTAATCGGCACCTTTCTGTTAATAAAATGTCAAAATCTAATTAAATCATTCGTCCTTAATTGTCTTTAACTTGACCCTTAAGTAATGTTTTGTTGCAGGCAGGCGTGTAAGTGTGGCGATGACACTGGCACTAGGGCACTAGGAGTTGAAAAAAAATTTAATGAAATAAATACATTTTTGAGGTTACACTTGGAATCTTGGAATCTTCGAAGAATAAAAGTTGAATGTATTACTATTATTTTTAAATAATTTGTTATTTTTTGCTTTACAATATTCCACGCTAGATATTATGAAAAAAGTCGTCAAGAAATACTTTATTTTGATAAACAAGGAGGCCGGAAGTCACATTTGTTAGCTCTGATGCTAACTTGTCAGCAGCGTTGCATCTCTTTGTCAGAGGACTGACTTCCGTTTTTATGTTTGGTCCAGATTTCTGGAATTTACTACCTAGTAAGACTCTGAGCTGTCTGTCGTTTTAATAAACAGTAGTAGTGATTTTAGTGTTTGCGTAACGGAGGTAGTTAAAGGTTTTCTGCTTCAGCCTGACCAGAGTTAAATTCGTTATTTAGTTTCATCCTTGAGAAACACAACTGTTTACCTAGCTAGTTGGCTAGCATCAGCCAGCTGAGTCAACGTTAAACCGCCTAGCATGTTTCGGTTCTTGACTGACGTTGATGACGACCCCTTCATGATGTAAGTACTGACATTTATCAAATTTTGTTTAGACACCGTTACCACTGTGTTTTGCAAGAGGTGATAAATTGACATATTGGAATGGTCTGTCATTTTTTCCCCCTGTGGCTTGAAGCAGGTACCTTGCGTTACTCTAGCCAGATGTGTGTGAGGGGGGGGACTACAGTGATCCACCATATTGGATAGACAATAACAAAAAAAATCTATCAAAGCTCAGCGACATTTGGCTCATCATTCAGTAACTAAAATGACCAGATATCCCAGTTGTTCCTAAAGTAACGTTACAGATCGTATCGGTCCCGTTACAGCTTCTTGAGATTTAATTAATTGCAGTTTTGTAGTCTTTTCTGCTCTGGCTAGAACATTGTTCCATTAGAGAATTTCCCCTGTATGGTATCGCATGGAAGCCAAAATTGCTTTAGATCACAAATGCATACTACAGACTACACTGCAGAAGTTTAAGGCATCATAAGTGAAGTGAGGATGTTTTTATTACAATGCTATGAATAGTGTTTATTATTTAAATTAATAATAAATAGAAAACAACGCTAAACTTTTGAGTATGCTAACAGATTATCACATTTGTGAAACTAGAACAAGAGAATATTGTACCATTGTGGGTGGAGAGACACTCGGTGGGGTCCCCTATAATGCCCTTCTGGGCGGCAAGTATATAATTCAGGGTTGGTGAGATTGCTGTGTGTTCCCCTGCTATGTGGGTAAGAAAAGAGCAGCTCCCTTGAGCATAGGAAAGGCAGTTTTGGTGTTTGGCTCCTTCTTCCGACCCAGCCGACGTTACATTGGTGTCAAAAGTGGGATCTCCGGAGATGTCATTGCTCTGGGACAGGGGTGCCCAAAGTGGGGCCCACGGAACATTTGTTTTGGCCCGCGGGGACATTTCTTGGCCCCCCACAATTTATTATGCCACCCCAGTTGTCAGGTCAAGCAGCTCCCAGCTCAGCTCGCAATCCACCAATAAAACGAGAAGAAGAAGAAGAAAAAAAGAAGAAGAAGAAGAAGAAGAAGAAGAAGAACAACAACAACAACACGAAGAACGGAGCAGTAGCAAGCAACATGGAGAGCAGTAGACA